ATAAAGATTTATATAATAAATATACTTTTAATAAGATATTTTAGAATGGCAATAAATTACATCAAATAAAATTTAAATATAATGATAATAATTTATAAATGTACTTTTAAATCTAAATTAATCTATAACAATTTATTTTTGGAAATTCGTATGTTAAAAGCACTTAACGAAAGAAAAATATGTTAATGTAATCGTTAATATTGAATCATTTAAAATAAAATTTAATTAATAATAAATATAAATATAAAAAGCTTTTATTTTAAAAATACAATTTAATTTAATTGTAATTACATAGCGCATTTTTTCCTACTAATAATTTAATAAAAAATATAATTTAAGCTGATTAATTTATTTAAAGTTTAAGGACTTTTAAGGTTTTAGTAATTGTCAAAAAAGTGTGAAAATTAATTTAAATGCTTAAATATATAATTAAATATTTATTTATTTAATATTAGTTTAATCTAATTTTTATTTAACGTGTTAACATTAATTTACCAAAAAAAGGACAAACATATTTTAATAGTTTAAGTAAATAATTAAAAGTTAAGTAATTTAAAATACTTATTGTTATATTTAGTAGCTTTAAAATTTAAGTTTAACACGTCTAGAGAAAAGAATTTTTATCTTCTAAGGTAAATCACCAAGCAAATACCATAAATTCTTCTATGGTATGCACACTTAATGTATTCTTTAATAAATACAGATTATAGTGGCTATAGTATACAATAATAAATATATTTGAGCAAATATTACATTTATATAATATGCATTTAAATATAAAACATTTGAACAAACGGTGTCCAACTTATGTTTATACATAAAAACTTAATCTTGGAAAACAGGATTTTCCATTGTTTTATATATAAAATTTTCAGTTATAAAGTAGTAAAAAGTTTGCTGTAATAAAGAGAAAAATTCAAAATTTATATATATTAACTAAATTTTTTAAATTCGTTGCATTATAGCCTTGTATAGACTATATATATTGCTAAATCTTTTTATATGTTAAGAGAAAAATTCTTAAATAATATCAATTATCGTTTTAAAAGTTGAATTATATTTACAAACATTTCATACATTAGACTAGAACTGTAATGTCATAAAATTTAATCAACAGCAGAAGAAAATGTTTTGAATATG